CCTTTTTTCTTCTCTGTGTTGATCTCCAACGGTGCCAGGGTTTACAGGTGGACGGTCTCTGTTGCTGTTCATCAAATAGGTCTAAAAACTCCCTCAAAGTGATGACTGCCTGTATGGATAGCAGGCCTATAATATCCCCAGCAATGCCAAAATCCTCCGCAAAAGACGCGGGCAGGTCCCCTTCCTCTTCCCAATCCTCCAGCTTTTCTTTTATTGAACTCATCATGGTGTTTCCAAATCTTTATCAGCCCAACAAACATCACCTGTACGAGCCTCACAGGTCATTGGGTCTCTGCACGGGGACGGTTATGGAACAAAAATATATTTACAATCTATGTGCCAAACAAGCGAAAACTTGAAAAAAATGCGCTCCAACTGGGAGGAAGTGTGTTAAGGTCAAAGTTCAATGAGTGCTGTTCCATTGGCTGAATTAAATCACCTGATTGGTAGTTTTATCTTTAAAAACAACAACACTTGGTTTGTTTTTTAAGTATTCATTAAAACTTGAATGTATAGAACTCAGATGTAAAGAAATTGGAATTGGATAAGAAAATAACATTAAAGCACAGAAATGTCTTTTGCTTTGGCCATCCTAATGGTAGCTTCAATATCCCCAAGCCCCTCCCTGACGCCGCCTAGAGGGTCAGTGCCACACTACAGCCACACCATCCTGCAGGACAGGGCCCCCACCGTGGTGAGATTGATGCACAGGAGGCAAAGGAACATTAGTTCTGTCAGACTGCATGTTTAGATGGAGGTTGGGTGGGAGATATGGGCAGAGGCTCTACAGCTGCTGAAGTTGTATATTAAGCTGTAAAACTAGTTAATGTGTCAAATGAAATATCACACACATGCGGTGTCTCCCACACATACAAATGCTGTGATAGCATCTCAGGGAGGTAGCAGATTAACCGATGGTTTCTGGGCCCTAAATTAACTGCCTCTGAATGACACCAGTGAAAAATAGAGTAACAAACCTGAGGACGGTTATCCTCCGATTTATAACCCACAGCCTCATGGAGTGCTTAAGTGTCTTTTGGCTTATTATTTTTGCTTTAGAGCCTGCAACTTTTCTGTTTTGGATCAGTCTCACCACTTATCAACTTTGCAGGCACCACTTAAAGATGTTTCTATATATAAAAAAAAAAAGGCTCTGTTACAACGACTGTGAATTCTCTGCTCTGAACCAACAGCAAGACAGAAAAGTTAGTCTTTAGCTTGTGAACAGATTTGATCATTTAGAAGATAGAGAGTGAGATTGTGGATACTGGAAATAAATTAATTATGTGGAGAAAGACAATTTACAGTTTATGTTGCCCCAAAACTTGCTCCAACAACTTTTTTTTAAACATTTTAAGGCTCATCTGATTTTATTTTTTTAATAATGATATTTATTATGTTTTGAACGCGCATCCTAAAAAAGCATCCAATTCCACCTAAATTGTTTAATATTCACAAACTATGAATGTTAAATGACTGCTTTATAGTGACAAACAATTTCACCAAACTTTGCCGTTCCCTTAGATACAAAAAGCATTTTAGTGTCTTTTGGCTTATTGTTTTGCCCAGAGCCTGCAACGTGACTGTTTCGGTTCAGTCTCATCACTCTTCCATCTTGTTCGCAGCCACCGCCAGCAGCTGTTATCACACGAGAAAGATCTGAGAAGTTATCAAGTAATCGTTTCGTTTTTTTACTCTGCAGTGAGGAATAGCGGACACAAGCTGACTCCTGATTTGTGAACATATCAGTTAGCACACAAAATAGAAGTTCTCAGCTGGTGGAGAGCACAGAGAGAGGAGAGTAAATATTAGACAAAGTTTTTATTCATCCCCGGACAGAAGCACAACTCATGCAAACATTGGCTTTGATTCCTAAGTTTTTATTCTCCCCTAGACAGAAGTACAACTCCAAATGAATAAAATACCTCACTGTTTCTCTCTAAATTTGTAAGTCTGCAAATGTCGGCTTTGATTCCTAAGTTTTGATACTTGGGGAGTTTTGACTGTTTTCTAAAAGGAAGTTTCTGTTGTGTTTCATAATCACAAACTTAGAGCTTCATCCCTCAGATACGCAGCCATTAGCTCACTGAACTGAGAGTAAAAAGCAGCGGCTAAAGTACACAAGTCTTTACCACACAGTGGCTAAACCTCCCGATCATTTTGTTCCTCATCCAGCCACTCTGCCGACAGCCCACCTGCAAATGAAGCAGAGGGAAGCACTGAAGCCCCATAAATCTTTTATGCTCCATAATGGCTTGTTCACATTACCTGCCCACACCTCAGCCTCCAGTGAGTGGGTCTGGCCAGCGCTGAGCAGGCCAGGGAAAAGAAAAAAAAAACCCACCAGCATATGGAGCACTTCAAACACTCAGAGCCTCCCCGGGCCTAAGCTGTGGTCGCACCCATGAATTATAGAAATGATCTAATTGTTTTCTCATTTGGAAATAGTGGGGGCCCTCTTTCTCTGCGTCTCAGATTTAACGGCCTGTGGTTTCCAACGGGGCACATGATTCAGTGCTGCCTACCTCTGACACGTTTGTTGAATCCAAGGTGGTCCGTTCTGTCAAAACAGAGCCAGAGCCGAGGTGTAAGTCAAACCTGTTGCAGTAAATTAACACGTAGACGGGAGGGGGGGGTTGATTTGTCTACATAGAGGAATGGTTGTGATCAAAGGAGGGAGGAGGGCATGTGGTAGTAAGTACACATAAAACAAAGCTGGGGATTGGATGAAAACCTCGACTCTGGGGCGTTAGTGCCAGAAAAATGAAAAAAAAAGATAGAAAGAAACAGTTTCAAAATGACCAAAGTGAAATACTCATGGGTAGTGGACATTACGAGGTACTTAGTCAACATTATGGGTCATTAAGTCAAATTTAAAAGCAAACCTAACAGAAGTCTACAGTCTAAAACCTATTTAATGGAATCAAATCAGATGAAACACTGTTGACAATAGATCGTTTCTTACGGGCGGCTGTGGCTCAGTTGGTAGAGTCGGTCGTCTCCCAACTGGAAGGTCGGGGGTTTGATCCCCAGCTCCTGCAGCCACATGTCCAATGTGTCCTTAGGCAAGACAGTTAGCCCCATGTTTCTACCGCTGCCTGGTTGGCGGCATATGAATGTGTATCAATGGGATGAGTTACATTTTTTTAACTTATTTTTGGTCTTTTAATGCCTCTATTGTAGAGATCGGATAGTGGACAGAGTTGGAAATCAGGGAGAGAGAGTGGGGAACGACATGCGGGAAAGGAGCCAGAGGTAGAATCTGAACCTGGGCCGCCCACTTAGAGGACTCCAGCCAGGGATTCGTTACTTCTGATGGTCACTTTACATAATAACCTCTGCTATCAGTGTGTGAATGATGGGAAACAAGCTCAAGTCCATTTACCAGAGCGTTTTTTTCAATCAATCATTTCCAAGAACAATCATAATTCTTTGAATGCTGTAGAGTCAGTTCTGTCCCAGCATGAGATTAGCAGATGAACAGGTGGTAGGTGGTAAAGTGAAAACTTATTTTTTACCAAAATCTGTCCAATCTGTTGAGAAGCTTGCAACAGTAGCTTAAAAATAATGGAGCTGAACGTTAAGGGTTTAACTTTGGTATCTGCTTATACTCGCCCTGTTGACAGACACAGATGCATTATTATATTGCCACCCATTGAATGGATGTGACATCAAGCTAATTTACCAAACTGCTGATACAGAGAAGTTTTTTTATTGGACAGAATTCCCCCGTTGGACAAACAGATTTGTTTTCATGATCGAAACGTGAAGAGAAACGATGTCAGTGTGGGAGGCTCACTCACCGCTATGACGTGTTCCAGTGGTGTTTTTATATGGAGGGACTACAAGCAGCAATTTGGGTAAACCTGGAATCAGTATGACTGACTCTCACAATTTGTGCATGTCTGATTTTAACCAAGAAATAAGACTTTGAGTTTTGTGAGTTCAGCTACAGCAGGATGTTTAAAGTGCAGCTTTGTAGGATTAAACAGACTTTAACTCTGGACAGAAGTCCCGAAACAAGTGTAACAATTATCAGACCTCCAAGTCTAAACTATGATGTCTTTATTTCAGTTACTTTCAAAGACAGAAACATCACAACATACATGTAGAAGGTTAGAGACACAAAGTCAAACCTCTGACACACCATCATTATTTTCACTTCAGTCTCAATGTTGTGTTATGATGAACTGGTTTGCTTCTGCAGGTCAAACTTTTGACTGCTAACTTCTTAGGATTGGAGTCAAACTGATATGTTCTTACTTAAAGACACTTACCATGTTACCATAAAAAAAATCTCTCGAGTTTGGTTTAAAAACTTGAATTCTCCAAAATTAAATTATTTTTATTTTTTTTTGAGAGAAAGAGGTTTCTTTAAAGAGCTGCCATCCAGTGGATTATAGAAAGTGCTAAAGCAGAGGTAACTGCAGGTTTACTTTGACACACACACACACACACACACGCTGCTGTAAAAACAAAGTGAAAGCTAAATAGAGGCTTTCGCTCGCTCAGTCCTGCCTGCAGCAAGCCGCTTCGCTCAGCACTCGACTCGCTCTGCCTTGCGCTTCTTAATCAAAACTGGCACCGCGGCAATTACCTAATTAGACATCAATTAATCCGCACCCTTCAGGTCTGCAGCCAAGTTTGACCTGAGGAGTAATGACGAAAAGGCCTTTCGAAGAATGGAGAAATCAGATTAATGGTGGCCGAGCCGCAGAGGTTGTGCTGCATTTGAGAAATCTCTGGAAATATAGTGCAAGTTCATTTCATAATTAACAGGTAGGCATATAATTGATTGAGACATGAAAGCTTAATCACTCAATTCAATAACCGGGATATCAGTTGAGTAGATTAATCCAATTCTGTAATTAAAGCCGAGGGAAAAGGTGAAGCATTAGAGTTGATTGAAGGTTAAACAGCAGACTCACCTTTCAGTCTTTGTCATCTCGAATCACTGTGACTACTTTCACTTCCTGACAAAGAAAAATACACACTTTGGATCCTGGAACATTTAGTTTCTCTTTTTTATTAGACGTAGCATTTTCACAAACAGCAGTTAGCCTGAAAATTACATTCAAAATGTGCAGCTGACCATGCGCAAACACTCCAGATACACCTTCAAACGAAAGTAACAGTCGATCGTGTGTGTTTGTAGTTTTTTTTCACAATATGTGCATTTCTTTATCTTTTATTTCAAATTTACAAAATCAAAATCAAAGCTTTCACTTGTTCACCATCAAAGCATACATACCCCAGTCACTAGAACACATTTCAACAGCTAGTTTCTGTACATATGCTCTGCAAGGTTGTTTTTTTTTTTTTTTTTTTTTAAAGGCTCTTCTTTGCATTCTAACACCCAAACGCTCCCAAACATCAGCTCTTTGAAACCCTCTTTGTACCGTTTGCCTTCTCCAAATACTCTTTAATGTTAGCTTAGCGGAGAGAAACAAGCCAGGTAACAGCTCATGTAAAAACTGGTAACAGTGTAGCTCCCACAAATCCACTTTGTTGTGTTCTTCCAGTTACACCAGGACCTTTGTGACGTTTCCCCACAAACACTGAAGTTCATAAAGGAGCACAGACGATGAACCCCAGCAGCTTAAACGAAGACTTTACCGAAAAGCACGAAGACTACACGACACACACGTTTGTACAAAGTGGCAAGACGAGGGTGCTTCTGCTCAGGTTTTATCCCATTAAGGTAAATTCATTTACACTCGTGCACGCACACACGCGCACGCGCACACATGGAGGTGTTTGTCCTCCATCATTCAAGTCACAGGACGCTCATGTCACAGGGTTAATGCTTAACACTGGTTGAAAGGGGAAAGAGAGGTTGAGGGCATGGGGGGGGGGACGGGGATGAAGAGATGTGGGATTGTGGGAAGTTGGGAACACTATCTGTAACTCCAGTCATCATCATCATCATCATCATCATCATCATCATCATCATGAAGTGCCAAAAGACAGTCTGTTAATATAACACTGATTATTTTCTCCATCTGATCCGACACCACACACGGCTGAAACATCAACAGACAAAAGCTCCATGAAGCCGAAAAAAAAAAAAAAACCCATACAGTCCAGATTCAGCTCAAGCCTTCCGAGAGGTTGATGAGGTTGCCAGTTTTGACTTTTAATGCCACAAAAAAAAAAAAAAAAAAAAAAAAAAAAAAAGTCTGGTCGGCTTCACCAGGAGGCAAAAGAAAACATTGCCGCCGGTTCCGTTTAAGAGTTTGTATTACTGGCCACAGGGATCCAGTGCATGTGAAAACACCTGAATACTCAAAAGCCCACCAAATCACACGGACGTCATCACAGCATCACGTCATCACTCTGAAACAATGTCCACGGTCCGGCCCGCCACGCGCAGCACAAATGATGGCTGAAAAAGCGGGTGGAATCTGTACACCTGTTTTAAACTCATCTGTAAGTGCAACATTTTTCCTAAACTGTCCCATCGATGAATGTAAATGTATTGATTTTTTTTTTCTCCCCCGACTGCTTGGTCCACAGCAATGTTCAGCTCAGTCAAAGAAAAAGGGGGATAATGGAACAAGAAGCCAGCGTCCTCTTCTGAGCGGGCGCCTTTACCTGCCAAAGATGCTCTCGTACTCGAGCAGTATGAGCTCCACTATCTGGTTCTGGTACACCATGTGGACCGCGATGTTGCCCGTCTCGGTCTCGGGCCGCAGCAGCGTGGGTCCGAACACGATGGCCACGCTCTGGGTGGTCATACGGTTGGCCTCGCCGTGATCGATCACCCTTGAGTTGGGGGAGGGGAGGGGAGAGAGAGAGAGAGAGAGAGAGAGAGAGAGAGAGAGAGAGAGAGAGAGAGAGAGAGAGAGAGGGAGAACATGAGGAGATGGAACGTGTCATAAATGCTTTTAGGTGAGTGTGTTTGTTTGACAATCCTTTGATTCAAAGCAGCTTCAGGCTTTCATCTAGAAAAAAAAAACCAAAAAGAATCTTTACACACATCTTCAGGAGGCTGGAGCTGCAGCCTGGCGACACACACTCTGTAACACCACAGAACGCTCCGGGCTAGAGCATAATAGCTTTTTTTTTTAAATAGAATCTACATCCTTGCATGCAGATGCACAAACAATAACATATTCATGGAAGAGAAAAAAAAAGAAGATTAAATCCGCCTGCTGATATACGTAGACCTCCATACACTGAATGTCACGCTATAAATTTTCTCAAGAAACACCACTTCATAGGTACTGAATTACAGCAAACACAGCGTCATATAAATGCAAATTGGAAAGCTCGGCAAATGTCATTGTGAACATATGATATTGCCACTGGCTGCAGTGGGCTAAGAATACGCGTTAAAGCTGGCTGCAGTTTGTGTTTGCCTACAGGCTGAGCGTGATGAGGAAAGGTAAACACTCAGAGTCAAACGGCAGCCGGTATGACTACACCAAGACGCTACCATTTGTGATCGGAGCGCATGAAACCCAAGACAGACCATGTAGGGTTTAAGAGTTGATTAGAACACTCCAACCTGTGGTTGAGGTAGAGCCGACACACAGGTGGGTGCATGTACACCAATTCAATGGGTGCTCAATATGCTCAAGGGCTTCGGCACCCATCAAATAAATGTGAGCTGACCACTTCAAAAGAAGAGTCTGGTGAAGATCAAATCAAGCATTGACATGATGGAAGGATTCTTCATTTTAACTGTCAATGACTGTGACTTCACCAAGTACGTTTTCACAAACAAGGACTCCGTTTGTGTGTTTTTGGTAAAAAAAAAAAAAAAAAAGAACAAAGAAGTTTAATATAAGAGGATGGATGGAGGAAGTGAGTGAGCACCAGTACTCCTCATGTCGGGGTACGGCTGGGCAATTCATCCAGTTTCAATTTCAATTTCAATTTTGTCTTCCCGCGTTCATGAAAACGAGACCATAGTGATTGATTGATTTATTATTGAGAAAGAAGATAGGCCCGCACACACCGCAAAAAAGGAATTTTAATGATCACACGTTTGGACCAGAGGTCTTCTTCAGGTGATAATTTTCACCTTTTTTAAATTATGTGTGCGGGTCTATCTTCTTTCTCAGTTTTGCTATTTTTGCACTGCCCCACACCTACATGCTGTGCGTGTAACTATCTCTTTTTCTTTAGTTTTTTTTTACCATATATTGTGATTTTTATATATTTATATTTTTGCCATTTATTTATTTTCATTTATTGATTGTTTTTTTAACGTGTTCAGAGTGTTAAAGTGTTAACGAAACAACAGGGCCATCACACACATTGCAACCTCAGTAGAACAGGACATCACACATCCACTGAACCTCCATGTTATTTAACCTGATAAAGGATTACAAGTAGGCTGAGGTTAGCAGCAGCTCACCTCGCAGCTTTTCTTTTTGTTTTATTTGCAGATATTTAATCTCCTGGAATAAAAAGCTGCCAATGAAGAATAAAGGAAGCCTGAATTTAAAACAACACTAAGCACCGAGAAAATATCCAGAGGCAGCTCAGCACAGCTCAGAGCCCCTCCTGATGTCCTGTGTCCGCCCAAGAAGAGCGCTTTAAAAACACACTATTTAAATGTGAAACTGCTTCAGTCAGTGTTTTAACAGGTTGTGAAAGTCGGATCTGTTTGTTTCATAACATGGGAGACCTGTGTGCAGAGGTTTCCTCTTGGTTACAACAACAAGTAACACTAAAGGGTCAAGTGGAGACTTCAAAAGGTTTGGAAATGATGCTGTTGCTCCTACATTATATCTGTGTACAGCAACACAGTAAAAAAGTTTCTACTTAAAAAAAAGGAAGCCGTCTTGACCTCACTGCTGATTTAGTCAACAGTCTTGTTAAGTTTCGGACCACTCAGAGGTTTCCCACAGTGATGAAATGTTTTAAAACATAAACATGTCAACCCCCTTTTTTTTTTTTTTTCAATCAACTAAATACTCCAAACAGAGCTAATTAAAAAATATCACTCAGGAAATATCAATTTAAAGGGGCCCTCAGGTCATGAATAAAGTTATGATTCAAAGCACTCAATGCCTTTCACATTTCAAAGCAACATGTAAACTTGAGTCTGTTCTCAGATAGAGAAAAGGGTAGAAATAAACGAAACAGCCATGAGTGCAAGTCAGGGCTACAGCGTTAAAATGTCAGAAATATCTTTCTTCTTAAAGAGTTTTTTATGTCTACGTTACCACGATGTAATCATTATATTGGGGGGGAGTATCTGTTTATGGAAATGTTATCAAAAAGACGTAATAGTAAAGATGATAGATGAGAGTGTGAGTGAGCTGCTCTGGTGCTTCTCTTACCTCCTGAGGTGTTTGAACAGGACCTGCATTGTGTCGTGGTTCGGTTTTGGCAACTTCTTGATCAAATCTTTGATTGAATTCAATCGCTGCTTGTAGTCGGAGCTCTCTGAGGCAGAGGAACGGAGAGCAGGTCAGTGCATGCACATGAGCAGAGCGCCATCTTGTGGCGACATCAGGGAAACACGTGTTCAAAACACCTCATCAGGATATTATCTCCTGAGACAATAAATCATGCGGTTACTCACTGATGGCCTCGACGAAGTCATCGAAGGAGCCGTATGTGAAGAGCGGCTCGGGGAGCTCTCTGAAGAACATCTTGAGAGCTCCGGTGGTGACGTGGATGTCCTCCCACTTACTGTCGTTCAGGTCCAACGTCTCATCTGAGGGGATTGAATCCAAAAGACACATGGGTGATGGAGAAATGATGATATTACAAGAGTTCACTAGTGTATCTGTGTGCAGAACGAATGTGTGCTCCTTTTGTGTGTGTGTGTGTGTGTGTGTGTGTGTGTGTGTGTGTGTGTGTGTGTGTGTGTGTGTGTGTGTGTGTGTGTGTGCAGCGCTGTTCGAGGTCGGACTCTTACCGTGATTTACAGCAAAGCGGAGCTTCTGGATCACAGCCAGGTTTCCACTCACTCTGTATAAACCGTCAATGCTTAGACCTGCAGGTAGAGGAGAGGTAGAGTGGAAGTAAAGAAACTGGAGGTCCTGACGTGCCGACCTGACAGCTGAAAACAACGGCTGAGTGATCAAACATGTTGCTTTTCTCTTTGTAAAAGACGCCAGTGAACAAAGTAAAAGTGTAACAGCCCAGATCGGGCTGAACATCAACATGTGGAAATGTTCTTCATGTCAGAGGAAAAGCTGAAACACTTTGAATCTACAAAGAGGGGATTATGCTTCAGTAATAACTAAGGCTTTGAGGAGCATTCTAAGGCAAAAACATGATTAAATGACTAAAGCATTCTTGTAACTTTGGACCCGATGTCCTCGGTGTGTTGTCTTTGAAATCAAATTTGTGTGTCTGGACTGAGACACATCTGCACAAATCTGATTGGAATCGCATTTGAAACAAACTCTAAAAGTGGCTAATCAGTTTAGTAAAAACTATATTTGATTGACTTTTTATTCATTCTGGCCTCAATTTGCAAAACAGAATAAGTCCCAATCAAGAGAAATACATCTGGATATGCCTCATTAAATTGGTTTCGGATGGCAGGTTAAAGATGGTGTGTTGGTTTAAAGTCAGTTGGTGGAGCAGAAGATATAATCTTCATCCCGTTGGTCAGAGGATCATCTACAGGTTCTAACGCTACTCAGAACATGTCATGCACTGCTGTCTCTGCCCCTTTTCTCATCGCTCTATCACTGACCTATCACATAGAGGCAAAAACATCCCAAAATAATCTATATTAATATAGATTACTGTAGATCGATATGGGATTTTTTTTTTATTATTACCAAAATTAGGGAGAAAAACTTTCTGATACCGACATATCGGCCGATTTCTTTCATAGATCTGTCTTCGACCTTGAGAGATGCATAGATATAGATTTACACTGACATTTATTACATTGATCCCCTAAATGTATAAAGATATATAGGGAAGATTTTTTTATAAAGTTCTACAAAAATCTTTATTGGCTAGAATAACAACAGTGCACTGAAGAGTCATTTTTTACTAAGAAATTAACAATTATAAAAATAAATATAAAATGAATTAATCATAAATGGAATAAACGTTGTTATATCGGCACATAGCAGAGATAAAATGAGCCGATACTGCTGGTCACGTGATGTGCTAATACTGGCCGGCCGATGAATCAGTCGGGCTCTATTATTAAACGGGTACGGGTTGTTAAGGATGCAGTTTGATTTGATCAAATCTCGGGAGAACACTAATAAGTCACTATTGAGGTTTTAAAAAATCTTATTAGGAGTTGTTTCTACACAGAATTTAAATTGGCCTCTGACCTTTGATGAAATCTGATGTGACTCTTGGTCTGGATGGAAGTCACAGAGGTATACATGCTCATGCTGGTGTATTTAATAATCGACTCAGATTAACGAAGTGTTTGTTGAACTCCAGTTCTTACATCAACTCAAGTTTCTCCAAAGAAAGAAACAATTCATGAGACTGCACTAATAAAAGGAACTGGATAAAACTTCAAACTGTCATTCCTACTTCATTCTTTTGAATATTTTGGCTGAAAGTTGAATGTTATGTCAACCTTCTTTTTTTTTCTTTTTTTTTTACTGTTACTACAGGATGGTGTTCTCATACCTGTGTTCTCCACGTGGTCGATGCACATTGTGACAAAGTTGGGCACTGACGTGTTCTCCCGCTGGCACAGACTGGTCAGACTGCAGCCAAACACCTGATCTGTGAAACACAGCGCACACATACATGACTTAGTTTCATCTGTCAGGTGGAAGGAGGACTACCTAAAAACACACGGGGAAACGAAGCTGCTGCCTGTGTTCTATTCAGTCTGAGTACCTTTGATGTATCCTTTGTCTCGCACAGCCTGATAGGTGGGTCGACGTGTGAGGAACTTCTTCAGCTTCAACCTGGTCTTCTTCTGGTCTGACGCGTCCATGCTCACAGAGTTCTTCATCACTGAAGAGGGCGGGAAGGATGTCACTGTCAATGCACTTCTTCACAACTTATAATACACACAGTGTCATCAGATTAAAGGGATATTAACAGGCTTTGTTTGTGTCACCTCTGTTCTTCTTGGAGTCCCGCTGGTCCTTCTCTTTGTCCTGTTTCTCAGCTCCTGGAGACTCAGGCATGTCCTCCTCAATGGCCTCGTCTGACTCCCAGGCCTGGACCGGAGGAGACGCACATAAATGCTGTTAGCATTCAGATTAAAAGGAGATCTATTACACTGACTTTCACCATTAATTATGTCAGTCTGGGACACCTATTGAGTACCATTGTGAGATGTGTAGTTCAAAAACCTCCTTATTTATCTTATACTTGTTTGCCAATCACTGTGCTCCATGCTTTGCTCTGATACGTCGGCCAAGTCTCTTGGAGTTCACTTAAGAGCAGCAGGAAACTGCATCTGGGGATTGCTCCAACAACGGTGTATCTTGTGTTTAAAAACACTTTGCTGAGGTGTAGTATGGACATCAGACATCCTAAAATTAAATAGATGTATTTAAAAGGATCAGCATAATGGATCTCCTCTAAATCTGCCCAGATTTAACATAATGTTATTCAGTACTTTCAAAAAGAAGTCAAGCATAGCATCCAGGTCTG